TAACAAATTATATAGGCTCCAATGAGCCTGGGTCCTGGTGAAAATGAAAGACTTAAAAAATATGTGGTTTATTCATTAACAGCATTTATCAACAGGCTTTTTGTTAGCTCCACTGAAAAGAGGACTTCAACTATTAGCTCTGAGAAGTGAAGTGTAAAGAAAAACACAGCTTAAGAATTCTGACCTTCCGAAATGTAGACATTTATCAGAGTATGCTCTTTAGCCCTTGATATCTTTCCACAGTAAGCAGGGGTTGATTAGGGACACAAATTAAAACTGAATTTGCTTATTGTGTGACGTGAAAGCAGTAGCAATGAAATATGAAGGCTTGTTACAAAAAATGTATGTCACCAATTTATTCATCTTCTGTCATCTCAAAAGAAAAACAAATCTCTGAACGTTAAATTGTCCCATCATCAGATGATGGATTTGTAAATGCTGAGTTCCTGCTTTTCAGCAAGGAGGTAACTCTAATGAATCACTATTCACCAAGTGGCATTTCATAGAACGGTGATATGAGTTAGACAAATGTTCTGGGTAAGTCATGAGTTATGACTGATAAGTCATAAGATGTTGCTCAGTCATAGGCAAATATATTCAGGTTCTCAGAACCTCCTTCTGAGTTTAAAACATGAATTTGGGAGCTAAAATATTCGATGCTATTAGACATGTAAGGATACAGCTTCCCAGAAGAAGATGAGCAAACTTTGGGATATGAGATGTTGAGTGTTACAATCTTGGGGATGCCATTAGCTATGTAAGGATACAGCTCTTCAGAAGAAAATGAGCAAACTTTGGGATATGATGCTCTCCATAATGCAGCGTGTGTCCAAGTGTCACTGGGCCTTGGACACACACTCTGTGTTAAAGCACCAAAATTCCTTAAGCCTTGAGCTTCATGTTTCACTCATAGCATAACATGGTATGATGCCTGTCTGCAAACTCTTTGATACTCAATACTCCACTCTATAGTGTGCACCCCAGTAAAAATTCTTGTCTATATTTATGTACTTGTTTTCTTATTGGAGTTGATATATATCCTGATCTCTAAGGAGTGACACAGACAAAAAGATCTTCATGTATTCCTCACAGGCCACTGAATTCAACCCAGAACAGCAGAAAATTTCCATTGTTAGCTACTACTATGTGCTAGTAAAATTTCAGACCCTTTATTTAAATTATCTCATTTAATCCACTCAACAATTTTGAATGTAAAGTTTTACTAGTCTCACTTCAAAAATAAGAAATGACTTTGAGAGGTTAGAAACACGTTATCTAAGCTATCACAGACATGTGTGGTTAAGGATGTCCTTAGAAAAGAAGCTTAGACCTTTTTGATTCCAAAACCAATGGTTCCTTAACCACTGTGGTATAATGTTCCTGACCCCGAGATGGCCTCAATCTCTTTTTGCAGTGATATCACTTCATTTGTGTAATGTTCCTTATTTTGTTGACCCTTAGTATTTCCACTGAAACTTATTATTCCCAAAGAGGTCATACTCTAAACTGGTATTTGTGCCAGCAGCATCCTGGCAAGTCTCAAGGGTGAACACAGTCAGCTGGTGGGCTGTGGGTACGGGAACACAAATACAACCCAGAAAAAAAATCACATCTGATCCTTCTCCCTGCAAATGATAAATGGTATGTGGCAAACTCTCCAGCAGAGATGACTGTGTGTATAGCTAGCACTGTCTCCATGAGAAAACGTAGCTCTTCTATGAAGTAGCATGAACAGCATTAATGCCTGTCAAATGGAAGTTGTGTTTTCTGTGATAGCTTGGACAACCACATACTTACTGAACTGCTTTTGCGCTGAGTGGTGACAGTCAACATATCCCATGAGCAGGATGGCTCACTGTGAATACTTGATCTGTATCAATGGTTATTAGGCTACTCCGAAGGAAGGTAAGAGGAAGAATGTCTAGCTCTCAGATTGTCACATCCTGGGATTTGGTATCAAGGAAAGTAGGGATGTTCTTGAAATACTAAAGAATGTGATAAAATCCCTTGCTTGGAGGAGACTTTAAGTGAACATGGATAATTTACAGAAATAAAGATGACATAGTTGTTCAGGTCATTTTCTGTAAGAATTCATGCACATCTAGCCCCAAGTAAAATTATGAAGTATGAACAGCCTATCTCATGTTTCTTAATGAATATTTTTCAATAATTATTATTCCTCTCACGACTTTGCATTTTCTTGTGATTTTAGAACTCATGGTTATACTCTGACCTCAGGAATTTGCTCTCTCCAAATAGTATGGGTCTCATTCCTCATCTTTAAAACTTGTCAAATGGCTGATTCGGTGTTGGTGTACTTGCAGCTAATATATAACAAATATAGTTTAGTATGGCTAAGGAGGCTACCCAGTCCAAAAGAAAAAAAAAAAGGTTTACATTTTAATTTGTGCTCACATCTTAAGAGTGAATGTTATATGAATAAGACTTCCTTTTTCCTTAGCAGAGCCAAGTCACAGAGAGAGCTCTGTGAAGGGGGCTATGTTCTACAGTCCTCAGATAAAAACACTCATTGTATTCACAGTGCAGATCTTCAGTGCCAGACTACTCAGACAGTCTGCTCATCTGGGTGCCCTTTCTAACACGCCTGTCCTAGTGTTTTAAAATCTAGTTACCAAAGCATGTAACCAGGTTACCTTTCCCACTGATTCTTCACTTCCAAACTGAAGAATACTTAAATGTAAAGATTTTTTAAATAGTATTTTTTGGAATACTATCAAAGAAAGATGTACGTATGGTTGGATTTGGAAAAAGGAAGGACAAGAAAAACAAATAAAATATGACCACCATATCCATAGGTGGAAGAGTAACAGATATGAAATGGTAACAATATCTACCTCCGTTCCGTATGGTACAGCTCATCACAAAGAAAAGTGACAAGGAAGGAAAAAGGAAGGTGAGAATATACAAATAATTTGGGTGCACTGATAATTTAGTGAATGTGATTACAAATATTCACATGGAAGAAGCATGGTAGTTAGGAAGACACAAACACTTCTATTTCCATTTTTGTAAGGTAGAGGCTTGCATAATGACCTTACTAGTTTGTATAAACCCAAATTCTCAACGATCAGCCAGAAGCATGGCTCCAGATAAAACAGCCTGTGTTTAAGCTCATAAAAGTCAGAGGTATGGCCTCAGATTGGGACAATCCTAACGTCCATCAATCGATTCCACCTTCCATACACTCTACAGAATACCAAATGTCAGAAAGAACTCAGGAAAACTGTCATCAGTCATCTACATACTTCTGGTGCACTTGAATGTACCCTGTCATATAGACAAATTATCCAGATATCAAGCTAATTTTTTCAGTTTCCACTTGAAAGCTTTGTGTTGCCTAGGTCGAGTCAATATTAAATTAATATTTTCCCTTTTCCCCCACTATTCTAGGGACCATATCTCTGGATTATTGTTATACAGCATGATCTGGAGAACATGGTTAATCTGATATTCCAGTTGACTGAATGATGCCTTTAATATATGCATCATACCGATTTTATAGTGTTATTTTTATTCATGTTTCTGGTCATATCTTGTTCATTTCTCCTTTTTCACAGAAAACTCCTTGCGACTACATTTAAGCACCCTCAAAGACTTCATGATGTTCCTGATACTATGTATTACATGATTAATAGATGCTTGTTGAGTGGATTAATCTACAACATGTGGGTGACCGGTATTCAAACAGCTATGTTATAAAGATAGACTAGAGGCAGAACTGTATCCCACGTGAATGTGTCCTCCTTGATCATGTATAAGATATTTTAGCCTTATTACCTTATTATACTTGAAGGTCATCATTACGAATTGTAAAAGCTGCTATTTAAAGAGGTCTAGTTGATAAGATAGTAGATCATGTCATACCCTTGTGTAACACCCTTCCATGGTTACTACTGCTCTAAGGATAAAAGTCAAGTCCCACATACATCCTAAAATGACTTAGTTCTGGACATCTCTCTATACCTGCAGCCTTGGCTCACACATTGTCTCTGTTCCACGTACTTCAGTCATGTTTTTTCTGTTTTTCACATCCTCAGAAACACAAAAATTCCTCCTACTGCAAGCCATTTGCCATGTTTAATCAGAATTCTCCAACTTATTTTCCTTCCCTAACCAGCCAATGTCCATTACTTCATTTTATCTTGACTCAAGCATCATTCTCTCAAAAGGGTCTTTTGAGACAGCTTCTACCTTCAACATGAGTAAACTTCCTTAGGTACAGGCCCTCATAACACTCAGAACATGGATTGCAGTTTGTAATTAAGAATTCGTTCGCGAGATCACTGAATAAAGTCAAATTCCTTCCACCTGACTCTGGACGACATAGAATGAGGATTCTCACTTAGTTTGCTCACCACCGGATCCCCAGTGCCTAGCACAGTGCATAGCAGAAAGGGGTCACTCAGTAAATATTAGTGAGTGAATAAACAAATGAATGTGTGATTTTTCCTCTGACTTATTCACAGATATTTTTCATTTGCAAGGTTATATATAAGGAGCTGTGAATATTTTAAACAGTGGGTAACTCATTAACTTAGACATTAATGAAAATCATTTGGGATTTTCATTATTCTAAACCCAATCACTCTGTTTCCTTAATCAAGTATACTGCCCATGGTAACAGTTAAATCTGGCAATGGTATGGGATTTGTCAGAGATTTTTGTCTATGTGAAAATTACTTCATACCCCTGGCTGAAACTGAACAAGAGAATTCAAAGCAACATGACCCCTTCTGAATTCAAGGAATCACTGAAAATGTCAATTACTGCTAGATAGACAGGCAGAAAAGAATACATTCTTGTCTGTACATCTTTTGTCCTGCAAGACGTATGCTCCTGTTCCATTTTCTGAACAGTCTAGTAAAATTTAATTTACTTTTTCAATTTGTCTCCAGCCAAGCTTCCTTCTGTCAGCTATGCAGACATTTTGGGGCTAGCCACGTAGAGTAATAGGAGAAGGACAATGAGAATTAAATTACCTGTGCATTTGCGATCTGTGTCTTCTTTTTTTGACCCACTAATCGTCAACTTGCAGTTGAAGTTTTCCTCCCAGTATTCAGCAAACCATACATTTCTTCTGTTGTTTTCAAGTGTACGGGATGTAAAGTAGGCATCAAACCCTAAACAGAGTTAAATGAAAAGGTCAGTGCTTGCAGGGCACTGCTGGCATATTCAGAAATAAAAATAAAAGTGACGTTTTTTTCTTTGTTTCAGTGAACTGGATCCTCTTGTGTGTCAACCGAAAAAAAAAAAAAAAAATTAACAGAAGGAGGAAAAATATTCTAATTGCATTAATCTATGACTAAATTCCTAGTTCAATCGGACAGGTAGGTAGTTACTAGCATAATTTCCATTTGTAGGTGAGAAAACAGAGAGTTATAAGAAATAGTAACATGCCTAAGGTCAACCATTATGCCACATTCCGCATCCCTAATCGTGTTAACTCCTGATCCATGAATATTATTTTAAGAACCTCCTTTCACTTAGCAATATCCCATTATGTGATTGACTTTCTAGTCAAATTAGAAGGAAAAGTTTTTGAAGAGGTTGTAGGTGAACTGACTCTAATATAAATGTCAATCCAACGTATAAAGAGTATCGAGATAAGCAGGAACGAGGAGGCCAGGGAACTCTCTAGCTTCCTCTTTAGGACAGTGTGACTTTAAATATTCGTATGGGGTCATAAGATCTTGCAAGAGTCATAGTGGAAAAAGAGATTGGATTCAGTGTCCCTAGGCTCAAATCCCAAATCTATGAATCTCACTCAGTCATGGACCCATGAGCAGGTACACACTTAACCTATCTGATTTTCCTTCAATCCACTAGCAGCAATGAAGACTACACCATCTCCTTTCCCCCACAGCATCTTGTTTGTGGCCATGGAAAAACTTTGGAAACTTACAAAGTTGAGTTCTATGATCAAGAACCATAGGGAAAAAAATGGACCTACTTTCAGAATACTTAAATTATTCAAAGTTTTCCCTTACCTGTAAGGCCATAAAAATGGAATAATCATTACAATTACAAAAATAAGAAGTATTTTATGTACATTTTCTCATAAAATGTCACCTCAGCCAAAGGAAGTAGGTAGTCTCAGATCCATACTCTAAAGTTTAAAATGAAGGCTTAGAGAAGAATTTGGACCCACATCTGCCTAATTCCAGACCCTGGTTTCTGACACCCATGCTATGGGGCAGTGAGTCTCACATTTTGGTGGGCATTGCAATCATTTGGAGAGCTGATAAAGAATACAGAGTCCAGCTCATTGAGGTAGGCAGTATCTGAGTCTTGTTATTTTTTTTTTTTTTTTCAAGTTCCCCAGCAAATTCTCTTAGCCACCAATGGTCAACAACTACTGCTATGAAGCTCTTCCATGGCCCACTTACCAAGCCACTTCCTCTCTTTCTCTACTAGATGCCCCATCATCAACTTACTGTATCAGCTATTGATTCCATAGGGCAACTGGGTGGTTCGACAGGTAGAAGAGCAAAAACAATCATGCGTTCAGCTATTGGAATGGATAAGTCAATCAAAACGGCAAAACCCACTACACAGTCTGACAGTCCTGAGCCAAAGCCACTTTCAAAAAACGAAGCTCCTCTCAGACAATTCAAAGCAGCAGAAGCAGAGGTCAAATGGATATTATTCCATTTAGTTACTTCTTGCTGACTTGCCTCTTCTTAGCTGAGTCAGATTCTTTCAGGATCTAAGAGTCTGTTTATTCTTCTAGCTAGGGAAAAACATAAATTAAATCTTGAAGTTTGCTTCTATTCAATTTTGCTCACAAAGAATAAAATTGTCCACGAGAGACTTAAGTTTTAAGAGAGATCTTGTTGTAGCCATGTATTTACAATGCCTTGGAATATACTTGGCAGCTCTCTGGGTTAGGCATACACTATAGCTTTTCTTTATTAATGGCTATGGAGCTTCTGATACAGAATGGTTTAAAGTTTTCCCTCTGGCTGAAGTCACCAAGCCATCACTCTTGGTCTGTCATTATAGTTCCTGCAACCTAAAGATTCTACCTATCTTGTTTGAGGAATAGACTGTCCAATATAAGATATACAGTTACCAAGGTGGAGCAGAGGGAAAGTCAGGGGTAGAAGCAAAAATTAGAATGACTCTATTAATATTATTATATGTGTGTGTGTGTGTGTGTGTGTGTGTGTCATAGTGAATTGATATTTTCTTCCAAACTTTCTACTAGAGCCAAGAAGAAAAGTAATCTGAACACATATCCCATTACTATTAAATTGTCAGAGTATTTAAATATAAACCAAGGCACCAAGACCAGAGTTTTAGGTCACTGGAAAGAGAATCAGAGTCATGTAAAAGGAGATCATTCTTTTATGCGGGGCAGATGGTATTTTTATTATGAAATTGTTCCTTTTATTAGACAGATAAATTTAATTTCAAAAATTAATCTCCAGGTGCCTCTGAAGCAAATGCCCCATTGGTTACATGTTGAGCAATATTCCTGTAATCTTGAAAGTAAACTTAGAACAACATAGAGAAAACGAAATGGATTTTAGCTGGTGTTAGGACCATACCAGTCTGGTTCTTTCCTCTTTTAACTGGGTTGCTGCCCTCAAACACCCCTTGAAATTGGTGGTTGAGACAAGAGAGTACAAAACAATCGAAACATAATTTATCCCAGGCATCGTGTTTGGTAAGTGACCTTTCCAGGTAAGAGAGAGAGAAAAAGCTCTTGCAAGTGTGTGGTATGAAGGGAAATCTATCAGAATGTCAAAAGGGGGTCAGAGGACCCAGTTGCCTGCTCTGCCAGGATAATGGGAGCTGACAGATATTGATGGCGCTTCCTGTGACATCAGAAATGACCAGGAGTCCTGACGGCTGCCTTCTCAACACTATTCATGTGTTGGAGATTAGAACATCCCTGTTAGCCTAGGTGCCAGGGGGTACCCAAGGCTTCATTTTACCAGCCTATAAACAGAGAATCTGCTTTCTTCTTAGGAATAATGGCCCAATGACTCAGAAAAATAAAGCTCCTACCACATCATAGGCATATGACACTAATAGAATCAGTGAATGAAGCAATTAATAAAAAGAACAAAAGGAAATGACAACGGGGGAGAGAGAGAGAAAAAAGAGAGAGGAGAAAGAGAAAAGGAAAAGAGGTGATGTAGGGAAGGGGAGGGAAGGGGAGAGGAGGGGAGAGAAGAGAGAAGAAAGAGGCATTGATTGGGGTGAGAAGCAGGGAATTCCCTGTTGCTGAGAGTGCAAATAAGTATAAAAATTTGGAAAAATAGGTCAGCATTACCTATTAACATTATTAATATGCATTCTTAAAGACCAGCCATTCTACTGCTAGGTACATGCACTAGAAAGTTTACACACATGCACCACAATATACATTCAAGAATGCGTAGCGTGGTAATATCTGTAATAACTAAATCTGAAACAACCCAAATGCCTATGAAATACACAGAAAAAAAGTGCTGTTCACAAAAACACGTATGAATCTCATAACAAATGTACAAACCGGGAATGAAAGAATGCATTCAGTATCATTTATGTCACATAAAGTTCAAAATTGGGCAAAAATAAGCTACATTGTTTAATGAGGCAGTCATATGTGGTTCAACTACAAAGAGAAACATTGAAACCATTACAGTAAAAGTAAGATATTCTAAAAAAAAATAGATTATTTCTGGAGGTACAAGAGAGGAGACAGACATATGGTGGACAGAAACAGTGCTGGGACATCTATCGTTCTGCTAGTATTCTTGACTGGGTGGTAACGTTATAACTATTTTTAAATCCTACATAGTTGTTTCATGCCCTTATATATTTCTATAACATAACCTGTGGCAGTGATTTAAATTTGGCTCTTAAAAAAAGTCCATGTCCTAACCCCCCAAACTTGTGAATATGACATTATTTGGAAAATATATTAATATTGTATAGCAATAAGTTACATCACAAATAAAATTAATTTAGGGATTTCTTGATGGGATGATCCTGGATTATTCATGAGGGCTGTAAATCCAATGACAAGAATCCTTATAAGACACATACAGAAGAGAGACACACAGAATGTGAGAAGGAGATGTGAATATGAACACAAATGGGGTATTGCAGCCACAAGCCCAGGAATGCTTGGAACCAGGAAATGCTACTCCGCCTAGAACCTTCAGAGGGTGGTGGCCCCAGTTGAAACTTTGACTTTGGATTTCTGGCCCCCAGAACCATAAGATAATACATTTCTGTTGTTTTAAAGAACCAAATTTGTAGTCATTTTTCATGTTATCCTTAGGAAAGGAATACACCTTAGTAAATAAAATATCCTGTTGTGGTATACCTTACTAGCTTCTCTTTGGTCCAAATGATAACACTGTTCTCAGAGGTCACAAAGTGGTGGCTTATAGGGCATATTTAACACATAGACTTGTCTCGTCCTTTCTGTTTTGCCACAAAATGTGTGTGTGTGTGTGGTGATTTTATGTGTGTGTATTTGTGTGTGTGTTTGTGCGTGTGTGTGTGTGTGTGTGTGTATATATACACACACATACTTTTTTTTTTTTTTGGGGAAGTCAGGGGTAGAAGCAAAAATTAGAATGACTCTATTAATATTATTATGTGTGTGTGTGTGTGTGTGTGTGTGTGTGTCATAGTGAATTGATATTTTCTTCCAAACTTTCTACTAGATACTTAAATTATTCAAAGTTTTCCCTTACCTGTAAGGCCATAAAAATGGAATAATCATTACAATTACAAAAATAAGAAGTATTTTATGTACATT